CAATTGCTCTCCTTCGTTTTACTCTTGATCCCTTTTAGGTCTACTTAAAGCACAAACCAGATCATGTCATTCATCTCCTCAAAAGTCTACAGTGTCTCCTCTCTCAGTCCGAGCAAAAGGTACTCTTTACAACGGCACCCGAGGCCCTCCACAATCTGCACCACCCACAGGCCCTTTGATCTGGGGTCCTACTACCCTCCTCTGACTTTTTCTGCTTCAGCCACACTGGCGACCCTGCTGTACAGTGATCAAGTTAGGGACGCTCCCAACATGTGGGCCTCTGCCCTGACTCTCCGCTCTGCCCACACAGCAAGGCTGAGCACTAGGATGACTCCCTTAGTCTCTTCAAATCTTTGTGCAAGTGTCCTTTCCACCCTGCTTAAAATTGCAATCCCACCTCTTTCCATTTCACCTACTCCTACCCCCTTTGGTAATTTGATATCCCTTATCCAATTCTGTGGGGTTTTTTTAATAACAAGTATCATCTTTAAATATACAATATTTACTTATTTATTACTTCTGTGTTTGCCTACATGCTGTCTCCCACTGCTATGGCAAAAACGGCAGGGTCCGTTGATTTGGTTCACCATTTTTTAAGCACTTAGAGTGATGCCAGGTACATAAGAAGAGCTTAATAAATACGTTTGAATGCAAAAATCCTCACTCCTTAGATTAGCAGCTTGTCCTAACAATTTCTCTTAGGTCTCAAGGGCCCCACATAAAAGCTGAACCAGTCAAAGAAGACTGAGCGACTTTGCTTTACAGCCTTTGGCTCATTAAGCTCACAACAAGCTCTTTCAAGTGCTGTTGAGGTTGAACAATAGCTGTGTCTACTTGGATCCTCTCTAAACTGTGCATTAGGCCCAAGTGCCACGTCAACATCTGTGAGCTTTTTTCACATGTCCACACTTCTTGTCACTCTCTTGCCCACCAAAACCACAAACAATTTCTATTCACCTCAACCAGAGCATGTGTACTATCATCAGCTTAGAAGAAAGAAGTGAGATGATTCATGTCTGACTTCTTTCTTTCCTTCCCTTTCCTTTTCTCTTCTTCCCTCCCCCCCCCCTTGCCTCCTCCCTTTCTTCGTTTTATGGAATCTTGTTAAACCTTCATGGATTCATAGACAATGAGAACTCAGGACATTTTTCCTACAAACTGGGCATGACAGACCTCCATATTCTACTGTGTTTTGTCCAAATTCATGTTTGGTATGCTCAACAGAGAACCCGAGAAAAAAAACCTCGTGAGGTAGTATGGTACAGTGGTTAACAGCTCAGACCCTGGAGCTGTGTTGCTTGCGTTCAAATCTGTGCTCCATCAATATGAGCTGCACCAACTTTATCAAGTTACTGTCTATTTCTTTAGTTTTTTTTTCATCTTCAAATGCGGAAAATAATTTTTCATATTTCATAGATTTGTAGTGAGGATTAAATTAGTTAATATAGGTAGATTATTAACAGTGCCTGACCAGTGGATAAAAACTAATTCTTATTATAGCAAAAGATTAAACCCCATTCTCACCCTTATTCTAATCCATGCTCTTATTTTTGTCCTCAAAGCTTACTTTATTAATGCCAAGGTCTAATTAAGCAACTTAAGGGGCTCCTTAGTGGGGAAGTAGCACAGTCATCAACCTGAATGGAGTATTTTCCAAGATTTCTGTTAGTAAATGCTGACTAAACAGTGTATATGCTATTATTTCTTTCAAAATTATCGAAGGTTGGATGCCCTAGAAGCAGATTCTAAGACTAGAACATATAGGCACATGATTTACTTGGGAATGATCCCAGGAAGCCCTGGTAAGGCAGTCAGAGAGGATAGGTGAGAAAACCAGTTAACGACTGTAATATGAGGAAGATTTCTACTGTGCACAGTGGGTCTCAGTCTTTATCCATAGAAAACTACCTGTCACTGGTTGAGGTTTGTTGGGAGATGGTGGGGAGGCAGAGCCTTAACTCCCTGACACTTATGAGTCTGGACGACTAGAGAGAGCTCTGGGCAGAGTCCCAGGCACCTGCAGGTGGCAGCTGCCAGTCACAGTACAAGGAACCCTGAGTGTGGAGGGGGTATGGGTGAGGCCCCAAGAATACTGGAGATGCCAATACAACTGAAGTTTTCAGTAAAGTCAGGTATATGACAGCATTAGGATAAATCCTTTCCATTTGGGCCCCTTAAAGAAATCATTTCTGCTTTCACGAGATGTTAAATATTTAAAACTCTCAGGGATCAAACTTTTGGAAACTTAAAAAGTTCTATGTTTATGCTTTATTATCATTTGTGTTGTCATAAGAACAACTTAATAACAGGCTTAATATGATATCTAGCCTCTTACTGTTACCTATAGGCTCAATGTCGTACAGCAGATCTCTAGAACTGATTCCATTTGTACTTTATACCCACTGAACAGCAACTCCCCCTTTCTCCCTGCCCTGGATCCCTGGCACTCAGAGTTCTACCCTCTTTTATGCTCACACTTTCATAAAAGGCATGTTGAAGCAGGCTTTCAGGACTTAACGTAGTAATTATATTTGAGCAAATTGTATTAAGACAGTTCACAGTTTTTCTTAAAAATAAAGTATAAGCCATTCCTCATAGTGATTGAGACTTTCAAAACTTTAAATTCTTTCAAAACTATTGTACTATCATTTGTGCAATGGTTATAAATTTTTATATACAAACACAGTCAATTGATTCACAATGCGAGTATTGGCTTTGATATAAGAATAAATAGTTTTTATGTATTTCTCATTCATTGCTAGTTATGCCTTAGCTCATGTATTAGCTATTAAATGCAGATTTCCATATGTAAACAGGTATTTATCTGCTTTGTTTTTGTCAAAATGATTAGGTGGCTTTCTAATTCAATAACTCTATGGAAATTATATGGGCTATATTAGCAGTATTATGTTCAGAAGGTAATTATTTTAACTTATTACACATTACTTGTGTTGTATTGTACTTTCAAGAATATGTATGTTAAACCACAACAATGCCTACTACAGTTCTGTAATTTGATTCATGCAAATCTGTCAGGAATAAAGTCAACCACAATTTAATTTCAAACCTTCCCAACCAGCAGCTGTACAATTTATGTGCTACTTTTCTATTTTTACTACTGGATAATGACAATGATGAATGCCTTTAAGAGGAAATACATATTCATTGAAAAGACTGAGATCAAAACTATCCTCTTCAAAAGGCCCACAGAGGTAGGAAGCCCATTTCCCTGCTTCAGGAGATTTGTTGGTGGTGAGCTGGAATTGTGCCCAAAAATGCATCTCATGAGGATTCAATAATCCGGTTAAATTAAACCTGCAATAATACCTCTTTACAAACCACAGTAATCGGGGCGCCTGGGTGGCGCAGTCGGTTAAGCGTCCGACTTCAGTCAGGTCACGATCTCGCGGTCCGTGAGTTCGAGCCCCGCGTCAGGCTCTGGGCTGATGGCTCAGAGCCTGGAGCCTGTTTCCGATTCTGTGTCTCCCTCTCTCTCTGCCCCTCCCCCGTTCATGCTCTGTCTCTCTCTGTCCCAAATAAGTAAATAAACGTTGAAAAAAAAATTAAAAAAAAAAAACAAACCACAGTAATCAATACCATCACAATTGGCAATAGCTAGAATACTCTTAAATACATCTGGAAGAACAAATGATTAGCTGAGCATAGCCAGGGGCCCATCATTCTGAGTGTGCCAGGTTAAGAGGTATGGAGACAAAGATATTCAGTGGGCAACTTAATAAGTTTAGGGTCACTGCTCTCCTGACCCATATGTCCACGAACATGGAATGAAATGAATATTACCTCATTAGCAGTAATTTACATGTTGAATGACAATGATGAACTTACAAACTGTGCTGTCATGTGAAATTGGGTTTCTTTTCTTCACTGTATCCGTCAGCGATCTGACTTTTATTTCAAAAATACTAAGAAAGAACACCATACTGAAATGGATGGAATAGTTCCAGAGATCCATGCATTTCTTATTTTATTTTAGCATGTAATTTTATAGCTTACTTGATACAACATAAGATAGGAAATTCAAGTGACTCAAGATACCGCAGCTCTGATTTCCAAAACAAACAAACAGCTTTATCTATTTGTATACCTATGCAGACAAATGTGTGATATGGAATGAGTTCTCAAAAAATCATTTAGAGTATAAGACACTTTGGCTAATAGGTGCTGCTGACAGTGAACTTACCTTCTGTCTATAATCTCCCACTATTTGCATCAAAAAATACCAAGCTATACTATTTCATTCTGAGTGTAAAATGTATGATCTCAAAAATTATCTTGAGGCCCACATTATTGTGTACATTTTCTTGATGCTGCGTTCATTTAGGTTCAGATACTTCCCTCTATAATTCAAAGGCTATTCCCTCATCATGTTTTGCCTTCATTTGGGATTCAGAAATTTGCAGTTGGTGGTTTGAAAAAAACAAAGACAAAACTGGATTTGGTTGGTAGCCTTTGGCTGGTAATTTTAGAGAAAATATTTCATTGCTTTCTATTTGATTAGACTCCATATATTATAGTACTGATACTGGAACTAATTCTAAATTGAATATATATATTAAGTTAAAACTATAGGCAATAGATATAATTTATTCTTTTGTATTTTTTAATAGATAAAATTTAAAATCTCCTCTAATCCCCTCTTTTATGGGAGGAGAAAGGAATGTATTAGGTGCAAATATACTGTTCCCCTATCAAAGCTTATTTTTGGGTGAGTCCTTTCTGCCCTAAATCGACGTGAAACTATTATTTTTTGTTTCTTCCCTCTTTTAGAAAGTCTCTCAACATTAAATATTATAAAATCCCTCTTCTATGTTTCTCTCTCTACCCCGGATTTCTACAACTAAGCATCCCGTGGAGTGTGCTAGTAATTCGATAGGGGAGTCAAAATGCCTTCAGTGTGTACATTTAGGTCAACTGTTTTCTTCCTGCAAATTATCAAGATGAGTATCTTGTAAAATTTAACAAAAATGCTTTGCTTTTACCTTCAGAGACTCCTCTTGTTTAAAGAGATCTTCGAAGTCTTTAGCACGGAGGTCAGGAGCATTAAGAAGTTGTTCCACTTCTGACAGGGCTTGCGAGACGTGAGTGATCTCAGTCAGGTAAGTAGAAGGCACATAAGAAATTTCCAAAGGCATTTCTTCAGTCATCGCCATCATCGATTCTTCATGGACTGTGTGCTGGTATAGATATACAAAAGAAGAATTCTTTTAGCTTCCTAATAATGAAAAGACCTCTACTGAATTTATATAAATTCCAGTCTAGAGCTGGCAGAGGGCTGAAAATGAACAAAAATCCATGATGGTAAGTCTAGTAAAAGGGTTATTATTTATATACCCTCTTCTTGCAGAAAGTGTTAGAAGCGTTTAAAAATAAGACATACATACACGTTAGTACCACGAATATAAGAATGAAAGACCAAGAGCTATAAGGTCATGAGAGGGATGGTTTTACTCTAAGAAAAGGATGATTTTCATAATTGGTTTTTAAAATGTAATTCTTAGCTTCTTGGAAAATTAGGTATGAAGTAGAATTGGGGGAGGGGTAGTCTACATGTGTGGTTTTTTTCTACCAAAGGAACTTCTCCTATATTTTTCCCCTTAATCTTGATTGAAGTAAAAGAGGGCCAAAGTGGTTTTGGCTGGTATATACCTTTATATTCAGTATCCTTCTCCTCCAAATTTCAGACATCGGCTCCCCTATTTGATGCTAGTTTCTTGTTAAGTTAACTGATAACTGAAACACGAGATGAGGAAGACTGAGAATGGGATTCCCATTTTAATGAGAACTCCAGAAAACCCTAAGGTCTAAGGAAGTACTAGCCTGTCCTCCGTCTACACTTTCCTACCTGCCATTCAAGCACTAGGATCGATGGGCATTGGGAGTTTAGATTCCTTTTGGATTTGGCCAATAGAACCTCTTCCCTTATTCCTTATAAGAGCATGAAATAAATACTATCTGGCACGCAAATTCAGAGAGAGAGATGACCTCTGCTCTTTTCTGTCTATACTATAAGCAACAAAACTCTTGTAATTGAACTTAGTTTTCCAGGAACTTCGTTTTGAATTGATCAACTGCCATCTGCCTGTTGATGGGGTCAGCTGAGGGTTTCAGTGACAGGGTCTCTAGAGGAGTTCTGATGATAAGCATGCTAACACAGCCATTTCTTACTGCACAGGTTTTATGACAAGACCATCCTCATTACTGCAGGAATGCAATTAAATGGAGCTTAGGATTTCAGACTGAATCCATGTAAAGATGAGTAAAATTATCAGCTGGACTATGTATGCGTTCTTATTAATTTCTCAGGTCCAGAATTCTTGTACTCAGTTCTTACATAATATGAAAATAATTAATTGCAACTTAGATGTCTCATTTACTTATAACACTGCAAATTCACAGAATTACACCAATTAGCTTAAATGACAGAATTGTACTTTTTGCAAAATTCGATTTTGTGTGTATATCTCGACCAAAGTACATGATACATATGCTTTCATCATGAATAGAATGATTATTGGCCTGCACTTCTAATTCTGCATTCAAAATAATAATAGAATTTTGGGCTACAGTTTAAAGAGGACAACCCACAGATTTAACCACATATTTTTAAATTTAAATTCTCAATCTCTTCATTTCAAACCATTTCAGCAGTTTAAAAGAAAAAATAAATCGGCAGACATGTGAATGTGCAATTTCCACTAACACATTAATTTAATACTAACTAGTAGAGTTAACACAAGTCAATCGAATATATTATGACTTTCATATATTCTATTAGACTGGTGGATGTTGTTCTTAAAAATTTCCAGGTTAATAAGTTGTTTTTCTTATTTACATAAATTTCTTCAACTCCTGAAGGAAAGATAGTTCTACATTATCTGAAACCAGAATGTTCCTACAGTATTTTTTGGTAATGGTTCAATTTTCTTGCTTTTCAATTGTATACATTTTATACCTGTAAGTTTTTATACAGTAGTGGTTTTTGTTATTTGGGACAAAGTTGGGTAGAAAACAAGTAGTAGTTTATTTCTCTCTTGCATATGTATATATCCATGTATTTGTGTATGTATACATTTAACCAAGCAGGTTGTTTTAGAATGAGACATATCTTCAAAATATTTAGAGAACATCTGAATTTCATTAAAAAAAAAAATCAGCGTGGGGGCGCATGGGTGGCTCATTCGATTAGGTGTCTGACTCTTAATTTTGGCTCAGGTCATGAACTCACAGTTCATGAGTTCAAGCCCCTTATTGGGCTCTGCACTGATGGTGAGGACACTGCTTGGGATTCTCTCTCCTGCTCTCTCTCTCTCTCTCTCTCTCTGCCCCTCTCATGTGCTCTTGCTCTCTCTCAAAATAAATAAATAAATGTAAAAAAAGAAGTCCCGATTTCAAGGTTTTTGAATTGCTGGACGGATTTCTGGATAACATAGTATTGGTGTTTTTAATGTTTTGAGGAACCTCCATACTGTCTTCCATAGCAGCTGCTATGGAAACAAACAAACTTAAAAATAAGATCAGTGTGAGTTCCAAAATGTTTTAATGCCTATCCATATCATTTTCTCTTAAAAGGAAAATAATTCTAAGTTTTTACATCTTCTGTTTCTTTTTTGACATGTAGTTTCCTTGATCTTCATTAGCTACCCTTGAGGCACTCTCAGTTATCTTAGATTCATACTAATGACTCGCAAATATAGTAATTATGGATGATCGACAGCAAGGAACTTAACAGTTAAATACAATAGAGTGGAGAAGCACTAAAAATAAACTCAAAGTTGACTACTGCCTTGGACTTAACTTCCAGAAACACAATTTAAAACCCTAGTTTCTAATTCTTTGGTGTTTTTGGCTAATGATATTTTGTTGCACATACAGGAATTTTATAAAAATGTACACCTGAAACTAATGTAACACTGTGGGCCAACTATACTCAAATAAAGGTTTTCTTTTTAAAAATCAGATTTATTTTAGGGGCGCCTGGGTGGCTCAGTCGGCTGAGCCTCTGACTTCCGACTTCGGCTCAGGTCATGATCTCACGGTTTGTGAGCTCGAGCCTCGCATTGGGCTCTGGGCCGACAGCTCGGAGCCTGGAGCCTGACTCGGATTCTGTCTCCCCCTCTTTCTCCACTCCTCCCCTGCTCACACTCTGTGTCGCTCTTTCTCTCTCAAAAATAAACGTTAAAAAATTTAAATACAAACTAAAAAATGAGATTCACTTAAATAATAATGCTAACCACAAAGTTCTGTAGCCCTCAGCCAGGGATCTACGAATGTGCATTGCACACTGTCCTCTGGCTTCACATTTGTTAAGTTTTTCACTACTTGACTAAATGTCTGTCTTAGATTATTTTATTACATATTGATCCAAGTGCTTCTTTCCCACATAAGAAATATTCATCATCACATCAAGAGCAAAACCATTTTCACCTATATTTCAATGGAAATCTCTCTTAAGGGGATTGTTAGGTGACATCTATTTAAATTCAGAAGTTTTCAAAGAATTGAAATTTTACATCTGGTTCCAGAAACGATTTTTGTTTTTTATTGTCTTTAAGAACGAAGCCATCACCATCACCAACTTGAAGGCAATACCCTTCAAAGAAACATTTGCCAATATATTGCACATGAGGCATGCTCTATTAATATGTATTTTGCGATTATTTTCAAGACTATCATATACAAGTCTTAGAGCAAATGGTATCAATTCATGAAAATAAGTGGACTAATTATAGCATAACCTATTCACTCCATGCTCACATGGCATGAAGATATTCTCCGGAATACTGAGAAATACTAAAACTATTATGGTTGAAGAGAACAATCAAAGAACTAGAAGGGCATATTCTATCACTTAGGAAAGATATGAATGAGAAGAACAATGTAATCTTTGCCATCCTACACTACTGATAAATCAGTGATCTTCTTTCTTTTTTTCTTTTGTAAAAAAAATAATAATAATAACTAGAGTCCCTATAATTCCTAAAATGCCATCCAGTTACATTTACCTGTGGACAGTGATTCAGGTGTATTTTGTAAATAAAATTCTAAAAGGTTAATAACCACACATTGAATATATTTAATGAAGACTGAGATAGTAGAGGATTTAGTTCTGCCTATCATCTTGATACATGGTATCCAGTCATGATAGACAGGAGAAGTTAAATGGTACCTATCACTTGACTAGAGAAAAGCTAGGCAATGATCCTGTGAGCTTTTATGAGAAATACAAGAATCTCAAAATAATTCTTTGACACCACTGGGAATCTATCAACTCATTTTTTAGAAAATTCGGTTTTATAAATTTTGAATAGTCTCCTTTATTATAAAATTGTAATAGGTGCAATAAATTTTAATATAGAGAAACAAAAGTTGCATATACAAGAAACAACCAAAATTTTAATCAACAGAGTCAGAAATTTGGAGACGTAGTTTGCTATCTACACTTTAAAATAGATCATTGTTTGACACAGTCATGCAGGTCTATAATAAATCCACTATAACCAATGAATGACTTTGCAGTTAGTTTAATAAAAATCTCACAGTTATTTTTTAAAAAAATCAGTGTAATTGGAAGTATCATGTTCATTTTCTCCTCTTTATGCAAAATCCATGCACTCATATTCAGATTTTGCCTTTTCCTCTGAATTTCATTAACTCTGCCTTGAATAATTATATCCTTCTGAATTCTGATGTGTACAAATCCTGTCTAACCTTTTGAAAATCAGCTTGCTTTTGTTAATATTCTTTACCACCTTATATCATTATAGGTATTCATGCATCATTAGCAAGGAAGTGCTGTAGTCATACTAATTCATTTTATTTCTCTCTGTTCATATTCATATCTAACGATATATACCCAAAAGAACATACTGTCTTTATTTTCTGGAAATGAAAATCAAGAGATGTGGAAGAAAGTCCCAAAGTACTATCTTTATTAAAAAATGGAAAACTCAACTGATGCTTAAAAGGACTGTGATAGGATAAAACTATGATTTGTAACATCTAAAGGTGAAGTGAAAACAGTTTTGAGATTCTGAGCTTTGTACGTAGGCATGGGTATCACTCATAAAGTTTTCAATAAACTTTGGTTTCTCTGAAACTCCAGTTATCACATTCTTTTTATCACTTAAAATGTGTTTCTTGAAGGACCACATAACTACATAAGAGAGAAGCAATC